GTGACAGCTCCCGTAAGGTGTAGGTAAGTCGTGCCTCGCGTAGGCCCTATCCTGTCGTAGGGGCTCGCGAGAGGTATGGCTGGCGCACTCGGCTGGAGCGGCCTAAGGAAGCTCCACATGTATTTATCTGCGACGAAGGATTTAAACCAACTCCTGAGTGACGCGGCCGAGAGGGTCCCGTGCTGCCCTGGTGCGGTGCCGGACCGATGCGCTCGACAGGTGGCGCCGTTGCCGGGGATAACGGAAAGCCTACCGTTGTCCTTGGTGGAACGACATCCGGGTATGAGAAGTGAATGAGAAAAGGCATAAAGGAAGGACGAGAAGGTGAGGAAAGATAATAAATGACTAAGTATAGATGAGGAAATTTACCTACCTGAGTAAGGGAAGGTATGAAGGGCGAACGTGTAGCATTGGGTAAAAGTACGTAGTAAGAGTTAGGTAGGACGGATGGAATAGTCCGGTTAAGGTGCGATGCTGAATAAAAGAGGTATGCTTGTTTTTTCTTTCTTATCAGGGAGCTTGAAGAGAAAAGTCTGACAAGATGTCGCAGGGCGGCGGTGCATCGGGTGGTCCCAAGAAGGGCTTGACGCTCGATGACCTCATTGCGGCCATTGACCAACATGAAAGGAACCCGAGCAATATCACTAAAGTCGATACCTTCCATTTTTGTGGAGAGAGAGTCCCAGAGTGGCTGGAGCGGGTGGAACAAGCTTTGGTTGGGCGGTCGGACGTTGTAAAGTTCCAACGCATTCTTCAGTATGTCCTCCACAGCTACCACCAGGAAGTGAAGAAAGTCATAGATGCAGCCCAAGGTAGCTGGGAGAGGTTCAAGGAGGGGATGCAGAGGAAATACCGCCTGGGAGACGGGTTGTTGACTACCGCGGACCTTGAGGCAATGAACAAAGAAGATTTTACGACGATAGGGGCCTTTGTTCAAGAATTTAAGAAGAGGGCGCGGAAGGTCCATGGGATCTCGGAGGAAGCACAGTGCGCCATTTTCCTAGGGTTACTCACGGCTTCGGAGGCCGTCGAGTTGACGAGACATGGAGGGGGTAGCACCAAGCTCACCTGGGCCACCATTGACAGAGGGGTGGAAGTTGGGTGTTTGGACCAAGTGGAGCAACGTCAGGTACGCCTGCAAAGGCAGAAGAGAAAGGAAAAAGATGCGACCGCTTCTGGGACCCCGGGGGTAACAAGGATTGTTACATACGTATTGGCACAGTTGGGGTATGCGACAAAGCCGGTGGTGCAAAGGAGGGTAGTAACGACTGTCCAAGTAAAAGGAAAGGAGCCGGTGATAGAGGAGGCTGTTCAGGAGGAGCTCTAGGAAGAGGAAAAACCGGTGCCGCTGCGCCTGAGGAAGGCCCAGCGCAAAGTGTGTAACTTGGCGCAGGGCGGACAAGGATCAGAAAAAGCGGAGGCGCCTCAGACCTTGATAGCAACCCTTTAAATGTGGTGGCTCCATCATCTAGTACGGGCCCCTCGCAAGGAGGGGCGCCCTCCTACGGACAGTGGCCCTGGTCGGTGATCAATGCAATCGTACCATGGGGTAGCCCGCCACCAGTAGCCGGACCGCAAACGAGTATGCCGCCACCCATCTACCCCGCAGCCCAGGCCCAGCCTGTGGCCCCGCCACCGTCACCCGCTCCCAGTTCATAGGGAAGCGTGGTTGGAGGTGGGAACCAGGGGCAGGGCAATTAAGGCAACGGAGGGAGGGGTGGAGGAAGGGGGCAAGGCAAGAATGGCGGTGGAAGAGGAAGGCAATTGAATGGTCAATCAAGGCTAGGGATACCAAGGCCAAGGGTACCAAGGCCAGGGGTATCAAGGCCAGGGGGATCAGGGAAGTCAGGGGTATGGAAGACCCCGTTTTGACTGGAGGACGGCCATCTGCCAACATTGTGACCAGCAAGGCCACACTATAAGGTTCTGTAATATAAGACGGGAAGACGAGAGGAGCGGACTGATTTTCTCCACTATGGATGGGAACATCTACGATCAGTTTGGGGAGGCCATTGACAGAAGGCTTGGAGGAGTGAGGGCGGAAGCCCAACGAAGGGCGGCAGCTGGGCCGCCACCCCCTGCCATGTTCAGGCTATGGCAGGAGAAGAAAGAACCGTTGGAGGGAATAAAGGAATTCAGGTTATGGCAGGAAAAGGAAGAACCACCGATTGGGGTGGAGGAAGTGGGGAGCGATGAGGAATTGACTCAAGCGCTACTAGGAGGAAGTAAGAGGGAAGAGTCCATAATCATTAAGTCAGATGACGAGAATGAGAAAGAAAGGATGGAACCTTCGTCCGTCTTGTTGGGGAAAATGGAGGACCTGCTGGATAAGATGGGGAGGTACCAACAGAAGTTGGTGGGCCTCTGTGAGGAAGTGAGGAAATGAAAGTCTAGCATCCCCAAGGTGTTCCTCTATGACTCCGGTCCGGAGTCAGCGCCCGGGCGACGCGGAGTAAATGTGGTGGGATCGTGTCTACAATCAGGGATGATGGGGGGACCCCTCACTCCTCAGGCCCGACTGGCACAGGCAGCACGAACGAGAAATCAAGCCAGAGCCAGAGCCAGCCAAGAACCTCCGAGGAGGGAGCAGGAGCCAGGAAAAAGAAAGGAGGCCGTGGAAGTGGAGGATGACGATGATGAAGAGGAAGAAGAGGAGAGGCTGCGCCGAGAAGAGGATCAGAGGGCGGAGCAGCGGGCAAGGAAAAACGGAGTCAGGGGAGAGGTCGAGCCGGTCGTGCGCGACGGACCGCCCAAAAGGAAGAAATATACGGTTCGGTTGGAGGAGGGTTTTGACACGGAGAAAGTGATCGACCGGCTGCTAGAAGGGCATAATGACCTCGTGACCCTGAAGGAAATCCTAGCGTCGGCTCCGCAATGAACTGAAGGGGAGATTGTCGCGGCGCCTGTTGCCCAATGTCCATCTGGGTACGATCCTGCCCAAGGAGGCTGAGTGGGCGGAGTCGGGTACGAAAATGGACTGGAAGTGTGTAGCCTGCGGCACGGTGAATCTGGTAGTAAAGGGCTCAAAGTGTGCGGCAATGGTGGACACCAGGGCTGAAATGAACATTATTCGGGAGGCAGACGCAATCAAATTCGGGCTGGATATAGACCGTTCTGACTGCGGTATTCTGCACAGAGCCAGCTGCAAGGCTGTATTTTGTGGGACAGCCTCGAATGTACTCATCGAGGTTGGAAAGGTGAAGGCCCGGGCTTGCTTCTTCATCATGTCGGACGTGGATCACGGAATCCTCCTGGGGAGGTCATTCCTAAGCAGGACGGAGACCGTGATATTCAATAAGCATGACGGGACGTTAATCCTCCTCTTATGCGACCCTGCCTGCGGGGATTACGAAATAATTACCTACAGAAACACAGGGCCAAGGGGTGTAAGGAACCGGCCCAATCCAGGATCGTTCACGATAGAAGAGTCGGAAGGTGAGCGTCGGAGGCTCCGTGTAGAGCCCGAAGCAGGAGAGAGGGGTGGAAGCATTTTCCCTCAGCCTGTCAGACTTAGGGAAGGTAATGGACTTGGTGGCCGCGCATGAGATGGCAGATCCAGATGCCATCCAGGCCTTGAGGGAGCAGGTTTTGGAATGCCCCGAGGCAGGAAGGTTGGAACTGGTATATCGGCTCCCGGGCAGCGGAAGGAACCCTGCATCAACGCAAGCACAATCTGTGAGTCGGCCTTTTTTAGGGAACGGCTCAAGCAGGGTTCCCAAAGGCGGTACAAGACGGTAGACAAGAAGTGTCGCCCGGTTCCCGTCCTTGTTACAGAGGACGAGGAAGCATATTACGAGAGGGAACGAGGGTTGATATAGCGAATGAGGGAGAGTGCTTTAGCAGGACCATGTCGTATCAACGAAGGTAATGAAGGGGAGTTGATTATAGGGGAGCCCGACTTCCTACTGCCTCGGAAGCGAGCATTGATGGTGGAGTTGATGAAGAGGAGGCATCGCGCCTATGCGTTTAGCGGTGAGGAACGTGGCAGGCTGGATGTGGACAAGATACCTATGATCCGCATCCACACCGTGCCACACGAGCCTTGGACCATGAGAGGGGCGCGGTATCCTAATCCTGATGAGGAAAAGAAGGTGGTGGATTACCTCGACGGCAAGATACGTACGCACGTCACCGACTATTCGAGTGGACCGTATGCGTCCCCATGGTTCTGCTTCATCAAGCCTAACGCGACGCTGCGGTGGGTGCAAGATTTGCAGAGGCTGAATGCGGTGACCGTGCGAGATGTTGGAGGATTGCCCAATGCAGACGCGCTGTCAGAATCCTATGCTGAAAGGCCTATAATCTCACTTATAGACCTTTACTCAGGATATGATCAGTTCCCAGTCTACCCGCCGGACAGGCCTGTGACGACTATGCACACGCCGCGCGGGCTAATCCACATGAACGTGGCCCCACAAGGATGGACCAATGTGGTAGCAATGGTCCAACGGGCCATAATTCGGGCTATGCAATCAGTCAGCGCCCATATCACACAGCCATACATCAATGATTTGGCGGTGAAGGGGCCGGCAGTGAAAGAAAGCGACGAAGTCTCGCCAGGGGTAAGACGTTTTGTTTGGAAGCACATCCTGGACCTCGAAAAAATCATGAGCCTGCTCGAGGAGCATAACCTCACGGCGAGTGGGGCCAAATCCAGACATTGTATGACGGAAGCGACTATCTTGGGGTTCGTCTGCAGCGAGAAGGGTCGAAGGCCGGATGTGAAGAAGACGGACAAGATTACTGAGTGGTCAGTTTGGTTCCACTCAATAACTGGTGTCAGGAGCTTCCTTGGTACGTCTGGATTTTTTAGGGCCTTCGTCAAGAACTTTGCTGCTAAGACTGAACATCTGAGGAAGTTAGTCCGTCAGGATCAGGAATGGGTTTGGGGTGAAGAGCAAGAAGAGGTGGTGGCCAGAATGAAAGAGGAATTTCGAAAAGGAGGGTTAGTGTTCGGAGCGCCAGATTATGATGCCACAGAAACACGACCCTTCATTGTCGAAACAGATGCGGGGCCAACTGCCTTAGGAGGAGTTCTAATCCAGGCAGACATAGAGGGAAAGGAAATACCCTTGAGATTTGAGAGTCGGACTCTCTGTATGACCGAGAGAAACTATTCTCAGTTCAAGATGGAGACCCTTGCCGTCCTCCACTGTCTGCGAATCTTCCGGAACTACATCTTCGGCATGAGGTTTATTCTGAGAGTGGATCCGACCGCCCTGACCTACTCTTTAAGGAATTACGTTTCATCAGATCCGACGGTTGCCAGATGACTGACATACATCTGGATGTTCTATTTCGAATTGGAACGGATTCCTGGCAGTAAGAACCGGGCGGACGGGCTGAGTCGGATCAACTGGGATAAACAGGAAGGGGAGGCAGTGGAGAATACGTCCCCAGTTGATGGATTTCTGGATCAAGAAGAAGATGTCCGTCTTCACATCAACAAGTGGTCGCCGCGAGTGCCCAGATGTGTAGGCTATCCTATCTGGCAAGCGCCGAATGAGTATGAAAGGAGGACCGAGCTAGTTCTCAAACCCTTTGAAGAAGAGGATCCCTAGGGTGGTAAGAATGTTCAGTGGATGATGGAGTTGGCACTGACCAGTTCGCATAGTCTGGTGGAAGACATAAGAACGATCGAGGAAGGACCAGGCCAGGTAGAACGGCATGATGATCTGATGGGAGGAATGTATCTCCTCGTCAACACGCTATTGCAGGAAAGCCTCGACCAGTCAGGCTCGTTGAACCCGGCAGGGAATGTGGACGAAGTGCCCGAGAGCCAGGACGACGAGTTCGAGGAGGGGGAGATTAAGGAGGCCTTTCGCGCAGACGAGTATGATGGGATCTACCTAGAGCAGGGGCTTCTCTTGTCTTGCGAGATGCGGCTAAGGGATGCAAGCGATAGGGCTCAGAGAATGCTACAGCGCTATTTAGTGCGTGATGGCCACCTTTTCGTAAAAAGAAAAGTGGGGAATCCAGGAGAGTCGTCTGCGGTAGGAACCGCCAGATTGATGTCATAGCAGCGATGGCATTGCAGGAGGGCATCGAGGGATCCAAGCCACTTACGCCAAAATAAGCGAGCTGTACTACTGGGATGGGATGATGGACATGGCCGGAAAATTCTGTCGATCCTGCGTACCCTGTCAGGAGAGATCTAGTTTGAGGCAAGGAGAGCCGCTGCATCCAAGGCTAGAGCAAGAGGTGGGGGTTGTGGTGCATCTCGATCTACTCTTTATGCCGCTTGGGGATCAGGGCTATAACTACATCTTCGATGCGCGCGATAACCTGTCTGGCTTTGTAGACGGGCATGTTATTCGCATAAAGACCAGGTCAGTCCTGGTGAGCTGCATCGAGGAGTATTACCTGCGCTATCCTTTCGTTAGGGAATTCGTAATGGACAGAGGATCGGAGTTTACCTGCCAGGAGGTGCAAGAGCTGTTATCAAGGTATGGTGTAGCAGCCAACTACACCACGGCCGCGCACCCCCAGGCAAATGCTCCTGTAGAGAGAGGACATAGTACCATTACGAGCCTCCTGGCTAAGTGGACCGAAGGTAGGCCTAATCAATGACCAAGATACCTAAGGGCGGCATTCTTTGTCGAGAACATTACAGTAAAAAAATCCACCAAGTACGCACCTGCGACGCTGTGGTACGGAAGGCACACCACCTTCCCTATCGAAAACTTTCTTAAGACATGGAGGCGCCAGGATCTGGAAGTTAACCTTTCATTCGAAGAACTGCTCGATATTCGGGTGCGACAGATAAGGGCGATAAAAGAAAGGATCCATGAGGCGTCTGATCAGGTGGCAAGAAGCCGTATGGATGATAAGGCTCGATGGGATCAGTCCGCGCGGGTGAGGAAAGTACCCTTGGCAGTTGGGGATGTCGTGCTTCTCTACGATTCATCGCTGGAGAAGCAGTGGTCCAGGAAGCTCGATAAGAGGTGGTTAGGTCCCTACCGGATCGCACGGGTCGGAGATTTCGGAGCGTACCAGATTGAGGAGCTAAAAGGGACAGAGTGGAAGGATTGGGTATCTGGAACGCGACTGAAGAAATTTATGGCGAGAGAAGAGGTAAGAGAGGTGACCTGACTGCCTTTAGAATAGAAGTAATAAGGTGTGTAGGTCAGGTAGGATGCATGATGTATGAGTGTGATCTGGTCTGAGCTTGCTTTGATTATCACCTGGTTGCTTACCCCATTGTGTGCCTGTTGTCTCCTTCGCCTATTGTGCAGGTCTGACTTTACGAAGACAGCCATGCCAAGAGGAGGGAAGGGGACACGGCCGCCTCAGAGGCCGCTGGGGGCATCAGGAGGATATGAGCGGCATGGGCCTCGCCATCGAGAGAGTACCTCGGTGTACAATGATGGGGACATCGAGCTATTCCTGGATAGTTTCTGGGAGCATGCGAGGCGTATGGGCTGGACCGTGGCCCAGGCAATTTGAGAGACTGAGGGGAGCAGGCAGGTTCGAGGAGCCCATTGCCAGGATTCGTAAGGAGGCGACGACGAGGCAGGAGGTAGAGATGAGGATGGAGGAGTTGCGACCCTCGCCTGTGGGACCAGATGGCAGGCCGATCCGTCTAGAGATCGGAAATGTAGCAGACTTTATCCCTGCCTTCGAGTGGTTCATGCAGGGGCAGGGTACACTGAGAGATGAGCGGGCGAGGACGTTACCCCTCTGGACCAGAAAGGCGGAGAGGGCACTGGCTAAGCAGGTTAGAGACATGGCCCGTGACTGAGAGAGTTGCAGGGCACATCTGAGAGAGGCCTTTCGACGACCAGAGTCCCCTCAGCCCAGAGTCGAGAGGCGTCAGAGGAGTCAAAGGCAGAGGGACCCTGAGCCCAAGGAGGTGAGACCGTCTCGAGGAGGACGAAAGACCCTAGCTAGGAGAGAGGAGGAGCCGGAGCCAGAGGTTGAGGAACGAGGCGCGTACTCTGAGTGTGGGTTGAGACCAGTGGATTTTCATCGGTTTGCCAAGGGTGGATTGAGGGGGTCGCCAGCACGCACACAGGGGGAGGCGCCAACATCTGAGGGGCCTTTGAGTGAGTTGGCGACGCATTTGGATATCTCTCAGTGGAGGGCGTCGCCTCGAGGTGAGGAGCATGGAGAGCAGGCAGAGGAGGTGCCATGGGAGGAAGTGCCACGGGAGGAGGTACCATGAGAGGAGGTGCCACGAGAGGAGGTGCTACGAGAGGAGGTGCCACAGGAGGAGGTCCAGGATACTCAGCGAGAGAGAGACCTAGGCGACGAGGGGAGGCGTGCAGGGAAGGAAGTGATAGAGGTTGGAGAGGACACGCCCCCACAGACGTCAGCGGTGGGTTTGAGACTCGGGGATGCACCAGGGAGCACTTGCCAGGCAAGGGAGAGGTTGCAGAGAGAGGAGGCCTCATTGCCCTCATCAGAAAAGGCCCCTTCGCTAGAAGGGAGAGCAGTAAGGAGGAGAGAGAGGGCAGCCGTAAGGATAGAAGCCTTGACCCTGATTGACAGGCACCTAGCAGCTTATGCCCTGGAGCACCCAGACCTGGAAGAGCCAGCACTTGCAGAGCCGCGCCAGGAGCCGTGCCAACCCGAGAAGGAGATGGAGGCAGAAATCCCGAAGAGGGTCGACCTCCGCACGAGGGAAAGGGCGCCAGCTGGAGAGATAGCAGAGGAAAAGAGAGCGAGAAGAACCAGGAGGATAGATGAGATATGGCAAGAGAGGCAGAGGTTGGAGGCGGCGGGGGAGCTTCCGACGCAGCAGCAGGAGAGGCAGAGATCGGAGGCAGCAGGGACGCTCCCAGGTCAGCCACCCAGCGCACCAGCTAGGGCCCCGGAGATCCCTGAGATGTGGAGGGACTTCTGGGAGCAGAGAGGAGAGGAGCTTCCATCGCCAGTCAGAGTCGGGTTTGGGGTAGCAAGAAAGGCGGAAGAGAGATTGGATCGAAAAATCAAGTTTCTGGCGAAGACAACTTTTGGCCGGCACTGGTTATTGGCGGGCGATCTGGCAGGGAAGAAGATAAAGGAAGCAAGCCATGGAGTACGCCTGGAGGCTATGGAGATGGAAATCCAGGAACTCAGGGCATTGGTGACCAGTCAGGCAGCTATCATTGAGAGTCTGAGGCAACAAACCCAGGGAAAGGTGGACAAGCCAGGGAGCAGCAGGCAGGGAGAGCAGAGGCATCCAGGACATGGATTACCAGGACAACCATCTGCAGCAGAACCTCGCCAGGAGCCACCTATGGGGAGAGTGATCCTGGAGCCAGAGGAGGCGAGAGCCCAGAGGCAGGCGGAGAGAAAAGCGTTCGAGTTTAGAGCCCCTACCGAGCTCGCGACGCTGCCAGTGGCGGCAGCAGGCCGAGTCGTACCCTTGGCAGTAGAGGAGGGGCTGCCACCATCTGGCAGTGAGCCGGCTCAAGGCTCAGCAGAGGGATCCATGGGTGTGCTCCTTGAGGCGGTGCATACTATGAAGGAGGAGGTGAGTTTGTTTTCACCCGAGCAGAGGATAGAGGAGCCTCTTGAGAGAAAGATGGGGATTGAGGCGGAGGGTGTCATCGAGGGCGGGCTCCAGAGGTTGGGCACACCTGAGTATGGACCAGAGGAGATTGAAGAGCAGCCCATGACAGTGCCAGGAGAGACACTCGAGAGGAGACCTCAGAGGTTGGGCACGCCTGAGTACGTCCCAGCGACAGGGGATTTGAGGAGTAGACTGGGATCTTTGGCTACTAGATCTGGGTCTGGGGGACCGGTTCCTGGTATGGAGCAGCAGGAGGTCGTTCGTACCGCAACTCCTCGATCAGAGCAGCAGGGGGTTGTCAGTACCTTGGTAGGATCTCCTTCATCGCCACCTCCTCAGCCCAGGAAGAAGAAGTTCAAGAGGAAGGTGGATCAGCTATGTTTCTACTGCAAGAGGGACGTGCATCATACTCTGGACTGTCTCGAGTTCCTTGAGGATAAGGCAGAAGGAAAGGTCTCAGAGGCAGGGGGTAAGATGTATGATAGAGAGGGTAGGATAGTAAAGAAGTTCGCAGATGGACTGAAGGCTCAGTTATATAGGCAAAAGCAGGAGGAGTTGAGGAGGTAGAGCCGGTTTGTCTATGTAAGTGGGCGGGTATCTTGTGAGGCATCAGCTTAGGTTCTCTGTGATACCCTCTTAGACCTAGATCTGAACTTTAGTGTTCCTACTGAGCTGGGGTCTTGAGGGTCAGGATGATTTAGATGAGGCATGTACCTATTTAGGTGGCCTACGCACTAGCTTTGAGAGACAAATCTGAGGTGTATTTTAGGGATAATTGTCAGCGTGAGTTTGATGTGGCTTGAGTTGAGTGAGCTATGATTTGGAGACATATTCTGTGTGAGACATTTTATTTCCCTGAGTGTATATTATGAAGAGGTTTTTTTCAGGGACCATTCTTATATATGATGATCACTTGTCTCTCTCACATGTGTGGTTGTACTCAGACAATGTGTGAAAAACCTCTTATGTGTCATGGATACTGTGAATATGATTGTAAGCAAAACTGTCTACTCCTCGGTATACTTGTGCGACCTGCCCACGGACAATTGATAAGGCAGAGTATGAGGGGAGGAAGTGCAGTCCGTCTGTAAAAGGTTGTGAGGATTTTGAAGATTTATGAGCCCTGGAGGCTCAAAATGCTTACGATGTTGATTGTTGATTGCTTAAGTAGTGATGCGGACTCATAAGATGGTCGCTCAGTGATGTTCTGTTTTACGATGGGACCCCCTTGGATTTTGGAGAAGAAGGATGTTTTATGATGTTTTGTGTTGTAACGAAACCCCTCGTAACTTTGAAAGAGGGGGTGTTTGGTTTTATGATGAGACCCCTCGTGACTTTTGGAAGAGGGAGTGTTTTTGTTCTATGGTGAGACCCCTCGTGATTTTTGGAAGAGGGGGTGTTTTGTTTTATGATGAAAGTCCCTTGGATTTTTGGAAAAGGGGATGTTTTTGTTGTTGGAAGACTCACCTTCAAAATTGAGTAAACTAATTTATGGCATAGAAAGTTGTTTGATGAAAGATAAAAGTCTAACGAAAAGGGTCACTTTTGTTTAGAATGTTTGAGAAAGTCACAATGAGTGCAGGGCAAGAGATGTCTCAGTGTGGGTGGCCGCTGACTCTGATCAAGTCAGGGGTCACGGTCTGGTGGATTTAGCAGTGATTTTGTTTGTAAGCGTGCGAAGGATGCCATGCCTATTGAGGGAGGGTTGGTAAATGCCTTCGGGCCCCTGCGTATCGCGCAGTGGGTCAGTGATTTTGTTTTGCGACACCCCCGTCTAACCATTTGTGCTAATTCTGAGACATATTGAAGAAAGGCCAAGCTAACGAAAAAGAAGTTAGTACCTCTAGGGCGTAACCCCATTAGATGACTGCTAGCCGGCACAACCTGGATGCGGGACCGCGTGGGTAAGAGTTTAAGGCGGGGTGCCCGCCCCAGTGAAATTACTCCGCGGGATAGTGATGGTTGATAATTTTTAGGGGAAATTTTGATTGAATGTTTATCAGGAGAAAACCTATCGTTGTGTAACCAACGAAGGGTACTGCCGTTAAATAACAATGCGGTGGGTCATAGTCCTGACCCGATCAGCCAGGCTATGGTGGGCCAAGATGGAGACCTAGCCTTTCTGTACTAGACTGCAAAAAGAGCTGAGCGGGTATTAAGTATACATATATACTTATGTGTTTTTTATTGCGAGAGATTTTTGAGAAGGAAGGCGAGAGTGCCTTCAAAAGGTCTCGATTAAGGCCCTCGTCCCTAGTTTTTGTCAGGACTAGGGACACCCAACGAGAAGCCGAATGGTTGTCTAGGACCGGGGAAAGGACGATTGGGTGGGTCCTTGGAACTTATGCGGTCAGCATCCTAATTTATGAGCGGTGAGAGGCCCAGGTTAAAAATCCGGCAGTATATAGTTGTGGAGGCATGTTTTGATGGAGGCCTCTACCCTGTGTTTGTCGGCTAATCGGATTGACTCCTCTTTCGTCAACATTTGGAGTGTGGATGGATTTATAGCCTTCTGAATTAGCGAAGCGACGGGGAAGTCGCTTAATATGGTTCGGTAAGTTGTCGGTGTGAATACCCTTACAAGGGTATCCGCCCTGGTCTTTGCAAGTGATGGAAAAATAGTTTTGGTTTAGAATTTAAGTGTACCGCGCTAAGCGCGGCTGCGGCTGCAATTACGTTGACTAGGTGGTTAACCACAATGACGAGTGCGTGGGCGCGCAGGCTTAAGGTGCGCGTGATTTCTTTTCTGTTGTTGATCGTAAAGCCGGTCCGGACCTCGGTTGTTTTGCTTGGTGATATTATTTATTATTTATTCTATTTTTGATTAAGCAGGAATTAAGGATATTTTCTTTTGATTTGTACATTTGACCGAGTCGAGCGCGCGTGCGGAGAACGGCCCCGACGACGGCATCGGCAATAACGCGCAATTTCGTGCAGTGAGCGGGATGTCGTAGGATGGCGCGTGGGGCAATTATGGCATGATATAAGCAAGCCGGCGGGGGCACTGGGAGTCGCGCATCCGGTTTTGTTGGCCTAAAGCGCCCGCCGCACCATCTTGTATGGTACTCTGCGGACGTGGGTCTCAGGCTTGGGCTTAGCCCTATAGGTTACGACATTGGACTGACACTACGAAGGTTCGGGGATCGAGGTCGGCGAGCGTTGACGCGGCTGCAGCAGAGCATCGAGGAGAGAACCGACGGGTTTGAGGGTCGTCGGGCTATCCCCCTTGGTTTTGTTAATGGGCGTGGCGGCCGGCCCGATTCACGGGACTGGGGAGGTGTTAACAGCCCCGCTATTCCCCGACAATGCTATGTTTAGCTCTGTTTTATTTTTATTTTTATCTTTCTTATTTTCCTGATTTTATTTTTTGTCCCTTTTATCACGTCCCGTTCGGGAACGCGACACTACGGAGGGGTCGCATGAGATGTGTGGAGTTCGCAGGATTGCCTGAAGTGCAATTACAAACTGTTTTCGTGGCCTGTGCCGGAGCCGCGCCCGTTCCGCCATTGGGGCGCAGTGCCATGGGCGCTCTCTTATACACATCTAGATGTGTATAAGAGACAGTCGCAGGATTGCCTGAAGTGCAATTACAAACTGTTTTCGTGGCCTGTGCCGGAGCCGCGCCCGTTCCGCCATTGGGGCGCAGTGCCATGGGCGCGACTGGCACTCAAAGGTCCATCTCAATGGGTACACCATTAAACTGCTGAAGTACAGACCTGTCTCCAAGCCAAGATGATGGAGCCCGATGACTAAAGCCAAAAGTTTTGGTCTGCCTGGGCCTGCTCAGCCCTTGAAGTGTCGCGGGGCATGGCCCGGGCTAAGTCCTTCGGGGCATCCGTCGGGGCCGAAATACTGCAGAGGATATTAGCAGGGCCCCTACTTAAGGGTGACGTAGGACAAAACAAGATCCGGGGTGAACCCCGACGTGAATCGTGTCAGGCGCAAGCGGACAGCAGGCGGAGTGCCCTCTGGTGCTGCTGTGGGGGCATAGACCCGGCCAAGTCCTTCGGGACATTTGTTAAAATTGGAACGCTACAGAGACGATTAGCACGGTCTTCGTGCAAGGGACAGCCTGTATAAGAGGAGCACGGCCGATGGCAGAAAGTTGTTTGATCAGCATTCGGTAGTCGTCGGGCTGCGCCAGGCACCAGCGGGGGTAGGCGCTAAGACTAGATGGAGAGGTAGCAGATACCGGGCACTGAGGGGAGTGACGAGCAACGCCAGGCAGCATCGGGCAGAGAGTGCAGCGGTGGTGAGATCGGCGATGCAGCAGAGCGACGGGCGGTAAGGCTGTGAGGGGGCTGCGCTAGCAGTACGAGCCGTGGGCCGGGTGCTGTGCAGTCGGCCGCGGTGGGGGTGGCGCTGGGCGGTGTTAGTCGGGAAGAAGTGGGAAAGAACCCAGACACGGGGTGCGCCGGGTGCATTCGGAGCAAATAGAAGGTATGGCGGGGTGGATAACTCACAGCTCGCCCATTTCTTAGCCAAATCGGGCGAGCGAAGAGTTGATTTCGGGGGATTAAAGGTGGGCAACCCCGACTGAAGTGTTAATTTTAGGATTAGATTAGTAGATTGTGAGTTAGTGAGAAAGTCAGTGAGGGGAGCTATGGCGGAGAGATGAGGGGGAGGAATGGCGACGGGAGAACACCCGTTTCTCTACGAAAGCGAGTGTCTGCAGGGTTAAAACTGACAGTCGAGGGGCGGGCGACGCTGAGCATGAGGTTAGATAAGAGAGATAGTTAGCAGGTGGAGAGCAGAGGAGGATGGAAAGCGAGGAGTGAAGGGGAGTGGAGATTCGGGTGAACCCGGACGGGTTCCCGCGTTAGGTGCATGCGAAAGAAGAAGGGAGAGAGGGTATCGATCCCACCATTTCCTTGATGAAAATGGGTGGAAGAAAGGTCTGTTCCTATGTTTTGGACTAGGGTGAATCTACCATAACTATTAGATTCGGGTAAAAGTTAGTAGAACAAGAGTTAGTGGAGAAATATAGTGCGTCGGGGCTGCGGCGGGCAGCGGGAGAGGTGAGCAAGAAGAAGGGACAACTCGGCCGCTTCGCGATGGAAACAGGCGGGGAGGGATCCTAATCGGGGGTTCTAGAGTACCGCGAGTAGGATGACGGTGTTGAATCGGGAGTTCGGAGGTTAGATTTTGGGTTACAATAGTAAGGAGCTGTGCCCCGGGGTGGGGCCAGCAGAGTGAATGCACCTGGCCGGGGTTTGTACAAAAAATTCATTTCGATTTTGCTTATTCACTCGGAGAGGAGCAGCGGGCAGCAAGCCGGGAGGTTGGAGGCCTACCTGTTATATGGCGTGTGATCGAGCGGGTGGCATCCACATGAGTAAGGAGGGAGCAAGCACGTACCTTCGAAAATGATGATGAGGGGATGAATCTGACCGGGTATGTGGATGGATTCACTCAGTGTTTTATGTCGAGACGAATAGCGGGGGGGGCATCCGCGGGGCCGGAGGCTCACTAGTGGGCAGATACGGTTCGGGCGGGAAGCTACAGAGAGAAAGTGAGGGAAAGAGGGACGAAAAAACTACTCATTTGACTACACTACGCAGGAGGAAGGACTTCGAAGCTGAGGTGTACCTTTCCGCATTGAAGCGGAAGGTTCACTCTCGT